AGAAGCTTTGAAGCAAGTAGGAAACAAAATCGCCAAAACAAATTTCAGCCAGAAGGTCAATTACTCATATAAGAACAATAACTATCCAAGTCAGGGCCCTAAAAGAACCACGAATAATTTAAACTACCAGCGACCATACCAGAAATACAAATTCAAAAACAATCAATACAAAAACAAGCAGTACAACCAACAGGGGGAAGAGAGATGGAAGAAGACTTATTATTACAACAAAAATCAATAAATGTAAGCAAGTACGCTGGAAATATTTCAAATTATTATGTAAATTGGTTCGAATTTTGCAAAAATGACAACATATTACAAATAGTCAAAGGTCTAATTATACCTTTCAATATTAATCCCCATCAAACAAAGGGAATTTTGAGACAAATGCCTCAATGTAAAGAAGTTGATAAACAAATACATCAACTGTTGAAAATAGGTGCCATATCCCATTCTAAAAGCGAGGAAGGAGAATTCTTTTCCAGTTACTTTTTAAGGAAAAAACAAAATGGTCAGATGAGATTTATATTAAATCTTAAAAAACTAAATAATTTCATAACAACGTCCCATTTTAAATTAGAGGATTATAGAACAGTAATTAAACTAGTTACACAAAATTGTTATTTTGCAAAACTCGATTTAAAAGACGCCTACTTTAGCATTCCAATACACAAGGAATTTCGAAAATATCTAAAGTTCAGATACAATTCAAATATTTTTCACTTTAATTGCTTACCATTTGGCCTAAATGTTGCTCCATTAGTATTTACCAAATTATTAAAACCAGTAATGGCAAAACTCCGGGAAAAAGGATTCGTTTCTGTTATATATTTAGACGATATACTTCTGTTAGGTTTAACAGAAAAACAGTGCAAAGAAAATTTAACGGACACGTGCAAATTATTACAATCTTTGGGTTTCATAATCAATATAGAAAAGAGTGTACTAAAACCATCACATTCAATTGAATTTTTAGGATTTATTATAAATTCAATAGATCAAACGATAAAATTGACACCAATAAAAATGTCAAAAATATATAGTTCAATTATCGAGATAAAATCAATGGACACTATCTCCATTAGACAATTTTCAAAATTGATCGATCAGCTTATTGCAGCATGTCCAGCAATCAAATATGGATGGCTCTACGTCAAACTTTTTGAACGTGAAAAGTTACTAGCATTGCAACAAAATAACAACAATTTTGATGCAATCATGACTCTTCCAAAATATTTAACAAATGATTTCGAATGGTGGCTTAAAAATATTAACAAGTCTTACAAAGAATTGAATTCTGAAAATTACATTTTAGAAATATTTTCAGATGCATCTAAAACAGGTTGGGGGGCATACTGCAATAACCAAAGAACATGTGGGTTTTGGGATGAACATGAAAAAGAAATGCACATAAATTATTTGGAATTGCTAGCAGCTTTTTACTCTTTAAAATCCTTTACAAAACTCCTTCGAAAATGCAACATATTATTAAGGATAGACAATAAAACTGCCATCGCATGCATCAATCGAATGGGCAGCGTGCAATTTAAAAAACTAAATTCCATATCAAGAAAAATTTGGCAATTCTGTGAAAAGCAAAATATATTTGTCTTCGCCTCCTACATTAAATCATCGGAAAACATCGATGCCGACATAGAATCAAGAAACACATCTATTGAAACCGAGTATGAGTTAGATAATGCAGCATATTCTCAAATAACAAAAACATTTGGTTTTCCGGAAATAGACTTGTTTGCCTCACGTCTAAATAAAAAGTGCACAAAATATGTTTCTTGGAAACAAGACCCAGACTCTATTGCAGTAGATGCGTTTACAATATCATGGCACGACAAATATTTTTATGCTTTTCCCCCCTTTGTCTTGATTACAAAAGTTATTAGTAAAATAATTAAAGACAAAGCAAAAGGAATAATAATAACACCTAAATGGCCAAACCAACCTTGGTACCCCATGCTTAAACAAATAACAGAACAAGAAATAATTTTTCCACCAAGATATAATTTATTGTTTTCACCTTTTAGAAAGAGCCATCAGCTTCATCGAAGTCTTACCCTGGTTGCTTCGAGATTATCAGGAACGCTTATAAAAACAAAATAAAATCTGAAGAGGCAATAAAAATTCTAATGGCATCCATTTCGGAAAAAACACAAAAACAATACGACACTTGTTACAAACAGTGGTGGGATTTTTGTTTAACCAAGAACTGACCCTTACCAATATAAACTGGAAAAAATAATTGAAATCTTAACACAAAAATTCCAACAGGGAAAAAGTCATGCTTTAATTAACACATTTAGATCCGCACTTTCGTTAATATTCATTCCTAACGATAATGACCAAAAAGTCGTTTCTCGTTTTTTAAAAGGTATTTACAATATAAAACCATCCAAACCTAAATATGCAAAAACCTGGGACCCTTCACAGGTATTGGACTATTTAGAACAAAAATTCCCAAATGAAACATTACCCTTAGAAGATTTAACGTTAAAATTAGCAACTTTGCTTGCACTCATTTCTGGTCATAGAGTACAAACACTTTCCAAAATAACTTGTGACAATATTAATATTACAAATCAAGAAATTAAAATTAGAATCACACAAAAAATAAAAACTTCGGGGCCAAATAAATTACAACCTATCATTGTTCTTCCGTATTTTCATGAAAAACCAAAATTATTTGTTGCTTCTCTAATTAAATACTATATAACAAAAACAAACCATGTTAGACTTCAAAATAACACTCCTTTATTTTTTACATTCAAAAAACCACACCACCCAGCAACATCACAGACCATCAGTAGATGGATTAAAAAAGTAATGGCACTAAGCGGAATTGACATAACGGTATTTTCTGCACATAGTACCCGCCATGCGAGCACATCGAAGGCGGCAAGAAATGGAGTAAACATAGAAATTATAAAAGAGACTGCTGGATGGTCTAAAAACTCTGAAGTCTTTAACAAGTTCCACAATAAACCTTTACGAAAGAACACCTCACAATTTGCAAATTCTATAATTAATTATTAACAATTGTTAAGTTTAAGTTAATAATAATCCAGTTAAAAATAATGTTAAAAAATGAATTAGAAACTAGAATTAAGTTTGCATTTTTGAATAGTGGCAATAATATGTAATGAAAACATTTTTATATGTATTTCTCTACATCATGTTTGAACGATTTCTTTGTCACATCAAATATAAATTAAATATATAAATATAAATTTAGATCAAATATTTTATTGTCTACTTTCTTAGGACCTAAGATAGCTTTATATAAGGGATCCTTTAAACATCTACATGGTGAATTAGGTAATTGTTGAGGACAGGACCACGAAAAATAATTGAAAGATTGGTCGACTTACCTGTAAGGAAGATCGATCTTAATTATTTGAGGGGTCCTGTCTGAAAACAATTACCTCCCACCCTTCCCGAATTAACCCCAGCGCGATCGGTAGCCTTTATAATCTGTGATTAGTAGGTTGCAAAATGGGAATGACTTATATTGACAGGATTGAATTATAGGTGCTATGCAACAAAAAATTAATCATTGTTGCTTTAAACTTTGCGCAGCAGAACGGTGTACTACATGGTGAATTAGGTAATTGTTTTCAGACAGGACCCCTCAAATAATTAAGATCGATCTTCCTTACAGGTAAGTCGACCAATCTTTCAATAATTATTGATAATCTCAAATTTGACTTTTGTGTCAAAAGTCGCAAATACCATAGAAAAAGCACTAAATACACTAAACGTTTCTTTATTATGGTTTCCACGGTAACGCTTGGTTGTATAAAAATATTTTTGTCGCATTTTTATTATTCTTGATAATCAATTTATTTTGCTAAATTTGATTTTACCTAAGTAATATATTATTTTTATTATTATTATTTTATTATATATGAGTACATTAGATGCACAACTCTGTATTTGCAGGATAAGTGATTTTAAGAAAAACACAAAAAACCGCTCATAAGGTCATATTTGAAAAAAAAAATACAAAAATCGTATAGACGTGCTTTTGCATCATTTCTTATTCAAAAAAGTAAAAAAAGTAATTTAAAATTAAGTAGTTTAGTAAATAATTGAAATCAAAAGATTTAAAAACATAGTTTTGCATCTTCCTCGTTCAAAGACCAAGTTTTGCAAGTGAAAAGTGCAAATACCAAAAAAATAACAATTAATCAGGTGATTGTTATACCGTCAGTTAATGCGTATACTAGCGACGTGATTGGTGATTGGTCAAATACCGAGTTTTGCATCCGACAGGAAGAAACAAATAGGTACCCAGTTTTGCAGCTGCGGTAAGTTTATAAATGTATTTTATTCTACAAATATTAACTTATGCATCTGGTTTACTTAGGTATACTGTGGGCAGTGCAGTTATGAACATAAATAAGATAAAATATATATATTTTAAAAATGTGCAAAAACCGAGTTTTGCATCTAATGTATATATTATATCGTATTTAATTTGTTATTTATGACTGTACACAATTTGTACTGCATACTGTAGTATATTGTGCCCTATATTACCACTATTTACTTTCTTGTTATGTTACACATGTTTTTTGGGGCACCCAGGGCGCACTAGGGCCTTCGCCCCCCTCTTACTGCGGCCCTGAATAATACATTAAAGTTTCCACCAAACACCCCATGGGACAGAATCCCGCAAAGTTGGGGCTAAGCTTTTCTCATGAACCCCAAACGATTCATGCAAAAAGGACCATTTTCGAAACACAGCCTTTTTCGGACAGATGTTGTGTATTTTTTAACACATTTTTACATAAATCCTAAGGCAACTTTTTAACAAGGGGCAAACCAATTATTTTTAAGCCGGCCCTGTTCTAAATTTGACAGAGCGATGCTGTATATTCATTGTATATTCGTAGTGTCTTTTTATATTATGTTGGCAGCTTGGCAAGCTTTTAACAAATATGTTGGCTAGTTGAATATCTTTCGTTGGCAACTCTGTTCTTTGACGTCTTCACTTTTTAGGTTATCTGTCAGTGTAAACAATTAACACAGTTAATTAACAAAATCGTAGGGGTGGTTCTAAAATATTAAACTTCAATGGATGTTATCGCCAAAGAAATCATTTCTTTCGAGAAAGACACTGTCGAAGAAGCTGTCAATAAATTTTTGGAAAATGTAAGTAAAAAGTATTGATATTTTAGCTATTATTAGGTTTTATTTGTAGGCAACAAATGTTTTCCAATTTCCGGATTTAGACAAGGATAATCTAAGACAGGATTTATGGAATGCTTTATATGACATATGCAATTCATCAGAAAATAATGATCTTAAATACAAATGTTTTTCAACTATTCGCATATTGAGGTAAACATCAATAATTATTTTTAGATTTATGTGAATTGTTAATACAATAAACCATTTAATTTTAGCCGGGAAAAAACATTGCTCAATTCATTGGTATCAGAAGAGTGGTTGGAATTATTTAAACGAGAGTCAAGACTAGGCAATGAAGAGTTTACATTTAATAATGAAAATCTTAAAGTGGCACTAGAAGCAGAAAAATGTCTTTGCAATATTGTTTTTAATAGTATTTCTGTTGCCTCAAAATGCATACAAAATGGTATTCTGGAAAATACCCTAACAAGAATTAAAAAGTTTAAGTATGTTAGGTACATTTACTTAAGTTAAAACATTTTTTATTACTTTATTTTAATAGGGAGATTCAGGAGGATGATATTCGATTTTTTGATGCTAAATTGTTGTTTATTATAACTGCAGTCAGGCCTGAAAGTCGTAGGAAAGTTAAAGATGAAATGAATGGAGTTACATATCTTACTGAAGCTTTAGAGGAGATTTTAAGTGAAACAGTTTCTAAAAATAATTTTGAAAGTAATACGAGGCCCAATATATTTTTAACTGTAAGTACAATTCCATTGTTTAATTTTAGTTTAGTTTTACAAAATTAACTGTAAACATAAAATAAAGCCTTATGGTAAGATGTGTGATATTTAGCACAGTAAGAACTCTGTTTTCTTAAACATGAATGCTATTTAAGTGCTTGTCAGAAAAAGTTATATTTTTATTTGTTTTGTATCGATTAACTCACTTCTCAGCTTAATGCTATAAATAACTATTTTAAAATTTTAGGACATGCAAACCAATATTACATGTGAAATTCTCAAAGCTCTCTTCAACATTACACTCCACATTAATGAAAAAGACGAAACAGAAATAAAATGTTTTACAAATGTGGTTCTAATACTCCGCAAATATTTACTTATACCCACAGAAAGTGCAGATAAAAGAGTAATGTTGCAAAATGATGTTATAAATTTATTAACAAACATGCCACAACAAATCTACCCAAGTTTATTACACCCTGTTAGTGAATCCGACAAGTTACCTAAAAAATTGGTCTATGAAAATTTTAATTTTACTGCTGTATACGATGTGTTGCTGCTATTGAAATCCAAGTTTGTAGCTGATACTGTATGTGAATAGGTTAATTAATTTCTATTTTAGCATTAATTTTTAATATTTTAGACTGTATCAAATCAACATGGAATTTTGTCCCCAACTTTAACAGTTTTGCTCAAAATGGCGTACAGTGATAGAATTATGAGAAAGTATTTGAAAGCGCAGATTTTACCGCCTTTAAAGGATGTTCATAACCGTCCTGAGCATGGAGATGAAATTAGAAATCATTTGTGTAAACTATTGACCACACCTATTACTGAACTAAGGGATCTTGTGGCCGAATTTTTGTTTGTTTTATGCAAGAAAAATGGTAAGCATTTTTTTAATCTAATACTAAATGTGTATTGATTATAAAATACAATTAATTGCGATTACTTTACAAGTTTAAATTATTACACACATTGTTTAGTAAAATTAACTGAAAGCATTTTAAATAGTCACCAGAATGATAAAATACACTGGGTACGGAAATGCCGCTGGACTATTCGCTCAAAGGGGACTTCTCGGTGGGAAAAATATCGAAGCCGAAACTGAGTTTAGTTCGGACGACGTAGATAGTGAAACTGAGGAATATGCTGAACTAAAACACGGAATTAATCCTGTTTTGGGATGCTATGAAGAACCCAGACCTAATCCTATGGAAAACATGTCTGAGGAACAGGTAAAATATTAATTTGTTTATTGAGAATTTGTCGTATTTTTCGAGGTTGTTTCTAAATAAAAACTTTGAGGTTTACGAAATTTTAACGTATAGCTCGCGCAGTGCGTAGAAATTGTAAAAATTTCACTTTGCACGTCAGTGGTGAACATAATTACTATTATAATCAATAAATTTAAGTCGCTGAACAAACTTAAAGTTAAGACACCAACTTAGTAAGAGCATATAGACAATACGTATTTTGTAAAGAGACTTCTCGTAATTTTCACTATTGCAAATTTCAAATAACACCTCTTAATGAAATAATGTTTTATTATGTTACCCAAAATAAGGCCTTTAAAGATATTACTTTATATTACACCTGTACCAATAAATATCTTTTTCTACTCCTATTACGGAATATGACCGTTCTTATATGACTTTTTAATGTGGAATGACATATTCCTTACAGTATTACAGAATGAATTATTCTATCATCGGATGACGGAATAAACACTGGTGGCGTCATCTCTGTGTTTAATATCTAACAAATTTTAGACCGATTCAACCTCACTTTTTCCCAATTAAATTATTTTTCTATAGTATTTTTTGGAAACGTAAAAGAAGTATTTTATAAAACGCGTTTGGAATTGCATATTCCGATCTCGTAATGGACCAAGAATGTGAAACACCCTTTATAATAAAGGTATACATTGGGGTGTCTTCCGTTGATTTTTTTAAATTGGGTATCATATAAACTATTTGTTTAGTCTAAAAAAATTGAAAAAAAAAATACTCCTTTCTTAGTGACATTTTAATGGCATAAGAAAAAAAAACCATAACTCACTAATAAATACACATGCAACAAAATATTACATATTTTTGTTGGAAATGTTACGGTCTAATATGTTTCTAACGTAAAATCGTTGATTTTAATAATATCGGAAGTCAAAATTTAAAATAAATTATTAAACCCAAAAAAATTATTTATCCTGTCAAAATGATGATACTTTTAATTTTTAATTATTTTTATACGAGCCCTAACCACATAATGTTCGGACACTTCATAATTTATACAGAAATTTTTTTCGTGAATACTATCTCAAAATTATTAGAAGTTATGAAAAATTCAGCTTATTTTGGCATATACCCCTCGAAGCGATTTTTATTTTTAAAAAGTTTACCTTTTATTTTTAGCTTTTAAAAAAAGGCTAACTTTTTAACTTTTTTTTGCATGAGTAAAAAAAGTTATAAATGGGCCCATTAAAAAGAACATAAAATATTATACCTACAAACCCTGAAAATTTGGTAAAAATTGTATAAATAATAAGAAAGTTATAGCGATATATATATCTGCAAAATCTCCCGTTTCCTAAGAAAATTGCAAAAACTCTTTAAAAATAGCATTTTTAAATTACTTATACTTTTTTATAACTTATTTATTTTTTACCAAATTTTCAGGGTTTGTATAATATTTTATGCTCTTTTTAATGGGTCCATTTATAACTTTTTTTACTCATACAAAAAAAAGTTAAAAAGTTAGCCTTTTTTTAAAAGCTAAAAATAAAAGGTAAACTTTTTAAAAATAAAAATCGCTTCGAGGGGTATATGCCAAAATAAGCTGAATTTTTCATAACTTCTAATAATTTTGAGATAGTATTCACGAAAAAAATTTCTGTATAAATTATGAAGTGTCCGAACATTATGTGGTTAGGGCTCGTATATTAAAATTTGAATGTGAAGGGTTAAAGATTGTTTTAAGACTGTAAACAAATAATTTAGATGATAATGGATGCCCTAGCATACATACACATAGAATACTTGGTGCACCTTGTATAATGTGTACTAAATTTAAAAATATCTTTCTTAAGAATCTCAACTTAAGCTAAATAAAATGTATAATAATGTCATTTTCATAACTGCCTTAAGAATGTAAACTTAAGGTAGAAATAACTTTTTTAAGAATGTTAATTTATATTTTAAGAATATATTTTTTTTAAATACCTTTTAAAAAAAGATTATTTACTAGATAAATAGATGGACGGCAACTTATACAGGGTGAGTTTTAAGTTGACGCGTTTCTTTTAACAGCGTGTAGAAATCAGATAAACAAATAAATATTTTAAGTAACTTTTTTATCAAAATTCAAAAATAAGAGAGTTATATAGGCCTTCCAAGTTTAATTAAATTTTGAGCCGGTCCTGGCTATTGTTAACAAAAAACATAACCATAAAAATAAAAATAACAAAATAAACAATGCAAAATGTCATCTATGACAACAAACATAACCATTTAAATCAAAATGACATTTAGCAATGAAAAATGTCAGTTTTTTTGTGCCTCAATTATTGTTAAAAATGGTTCATAATTATAGCAATAATGAATTAGTGGAAATGTTACTAATTTATGGAGAGTGTCGTCAAAATGCAAATGCTGCAACTTAAGTAAATAATGACATTTTTTATTGCAAAATGTCAATTTAATTTAAATGGTTATGTTTGTTGTCAAATATGACATTATGCATTGTTTATTTTGATATTTTTATGGTTATGTTTTTCGTTAACAATAGCCAGGACCGGCTTAAAATTTAATTAAACTTTGATGGGCTATAACTTTTTTATTTTTGGGTTTTGATAAAAAAGTTACTTAAAATATTTATTTGTCTAGCTGATTTCTACACACTGTTAAAAGGAACGCGCCAACTTAAAACTCACCCTGTATAATATCAATTGTAAATAAATCTATAGATATTACGATTTAAGATAAAAATAAAAATAAATCGCCGAAGCACCCTATTTTTAGAGTTTCTTAAAATATTGACATCTTAACGATAAATAAAGAACTTAACCTATTTTAACAATTCTTATTCAGCACTTTCCTGAAACTAATAAGCATCCTTTTTTCATTCCGAATCATAATATAACATATTAGTTGCTTTCCAATTGACCGTTTTGAGCACGCAATGCAGTCCCGGGTTTTAAGTTTGCGTTCCCATTACTCTTGCTATTTGTAACCCGATACACGCAGGGGCTGCATTGCGTGCTCACAACGGTAAATTGGAAAGCAACTATTATGTTTATGTTTTAAATTAAAACATATTAAATAATATTTACATATTATGTAAAATTAAATTGTTTTTACAGAAAGAGTATGAAGCCCTTCGCTTGGTTCAGCTTATTGACGATTTAACGAAATGTGGGGCTATTAAACCTTGCAGGGTGGGCAAGGATGGTAAACCTGAGCCTATTGAGCATGTGCTGCAATTACAGGAAGGTATTAAGGCACAAAGTAATTATCACAACGCTGATGACGATTCTGACTAAATTAATAGGATTTGTTTATTTTTTGATCAAGTTAGTATTATTATGTTTAATTGTTAATTAAAAATGGAATTAATGTTAAAAAATTAGGTATTCAATGTGTTGATGTAACTTTTTTGTTAACATTAAAGCTAAAAACCAAAACGATCGTATCGGTTCTCTTAACAAATATAACAGCTGTTAAAAGTTACATCAAAACCCTGAATTATCAGTTTAAAATTGGCAAACTTAAGACTTGCTCCTTGTACAATCTTTTACTGTGTAGTAAAATTTAGATTTCTTCTAAATGTAAAATTTGACCTCTAGATATGTGGACCCATCTTCTAATCTAAAACTTCTGTTTTAAGATATAACAAAATATTTACCTTCAGAGTTCAAGTAGATTTATATTTTATAATAAACATTTTGGGTAGTTATTATCTAGTCATATAACCTACTTTAGACATCTACTAAGCTCATTATATGTTATAACAATAGATTTTATCTGAAAATGGATAATAATAATAAAAACTTAAAAAAACTAATTGTGATCACAATAATAGCAGTTTTTAGGAAATTACAAAAATGTAATTGTGTTAAACTAATTTAAAAAATGGTAAATATAAAATTTATTTTGCTACAACTGCAACACGGTACCTACCTACAAACAAAATACAGATGTTGCGAAATAGTTTTGTATGTATCATTTATAAATCTTTTTTTTTAATTATTTTCCTAAAAATGAATATTATTTTGTATAAATCTGTAAATAAGTTTAATTAAAAATATACCATTTATCTTTAAAAACAGTTAAGCACAGAGAAGCTTTGCACTTTTTACCATTACATGTGTATTTTTTAATTGTATACAACTAATGTTGCAAATTGCAAAGCTAAGCTGTGTTGTTAGTGAAAACATTTTTATCATCAAAAAATTCACTATTTTACTCTTTATGGCTATTTTTAAAGACTAATATTTATTAAATAAATCGGATCCCGAACAGCATTCTTGAGCTCATAAGTAGGTATATTATTTTTCATGAGTTCAAGTGCCGGCGGCATATTGGATAAAATGATCGAAGAGTGTGATATCTAAAGGCAAAAGCTTAATTGCGCGTGCGCAGAAAGTGGACCTTTATTTTGAAAGCGCAAATAATGGTCTTTGCGAAAAGATTTACTTATCACGCCATGAGCTCAGGTGATTCACAAATTATCAAAATGCATAAGATATCACGGCGTGAGGTAAACTGGAAAAATCCGAACTCAGAGTTGCTGTGCGGGATTTTCCACATCTAAATGACCACTTTTATATATATATGTATGTATGTATGTATTTATTTTCAGTTTTAAAATGAGTTTAATTCATATTGTATATTGTTAGTACTTAAGGTTTTTCTTATGTTTTATACTGCAGGATAATAACAGCATTTATTTTTATTTTTTGATATTTTTTTTTAAATGTAATTAAGTTCTTCAGGTGCCAATACATTGCTTTTGACTTGGATTAAAGAGTGGAACGATATATTTGGTTGATTTTATGCATACAAAAAAGACATATCTATGGTACTAGTAGTCAATCTGTCGAAAAAAAGTACCATGGTCATTTTTTTGCTTACATTGTTGGGGCTCATAAAAAAGCTTAAACCCAAATTTGCGGCATCCTACCCCTTGCGGATTAACGTGAATAGTTATTTGTTTTACAAGTGTTGAAAAGCGTTTAAGTTGCTCACGAGGCCGTCAGGCCGAGTGTGCATTAACACGAGCTTGAAGAAAGCTTTTCTACGACCCTTTTATTTTTTATTATATTCAAAAACAAAAAAACGTAAAAACCTAAAAACGTGTTTGACATCTGGTAAAATTTTTTTAATTTTTAAGGTATAAGTTAAAAAAAATCAATAAACTTACCTTCTTAATTTAAATAAAGTCAAAATTAGAATTTAGTATACAAACACTGTGTTCTAAATGATATTTAGAGAAACATACAAATACAATACAAATTTTGAAACACATGAACATAATACAAGAGGACGTGAACAAATAGACATAGAAAGAGCCAAAACAAAATATGGAGAAATGAAAATAAAACATCAAGGGTACAAACTATACAACAAATTACCAGAGAATATAAAAAACCTACCCGAGACGACTTTCAAAACCAACTTGAAGACTTTTATTTTGCACCAAAGAATATCTACTTAATATATTTACTTATTTATTATTTATCATATAAATCCAATATTATACATACTTATTTATTTATTATATTTATACTTATCTGATATTATCGCTACTGTGATATTTAGGATGTACTTTTTTAAATAAAAAAAAAAAAAAAAAAAAAAAATGTCAAACGATGCTGTCAATTTCTTTTCACACAGACCTATCACTTTTCACACAGAAATATCACTTTTCATACAGAGATGTCACTTTTCATTTGTGTTTTGCCTTGCCAATGAAAAGATTCATTTTCTAAGCAACAATGCCATTAGGAAATGTGACTTTTACATAGTGGTCGTAGAAAAAGCTTTTTTCTTAAAAACGGTAAATTTTGGAAAGTTTTTAAATAAAAAATGTAGGTGCATTGTCTTCTAAAAATTAAAAAAAGTACCCAAATAGTTTTTATGCTAGTTTTTTGGTGAGCGAAAGCGAGCAAAAAAATCATTCATGAATGCAAAATAATTTCGCGATTGGGTATCAAACAACATTTTTTCGAAAACAGTATACCAGTTTAAACTAATTATAAATTACTAAAAATGTAAAGAAAAAATTTTGAAATGGATGTAAAAGTATTTTGAGTACAAAGCAACAAATTTAACAGACTTACGTTCTGCGGACAAAAAACTGTTCTTTTGACACTCAATAAATATAATGTAAAAGTCCACTATTAGTGACAGTTTTCAAAAAAGCGTTTTATCGCTTTTTTTAACGCAGGACTAGTTAAAAAAAGTTGTTTATATCGAAATACTGTATAAAGATTTCCTATACCCCTTTTCAGAGTGTTTTGACGGGTTTTTAATGAAAACTAAAAAAGTTGTTTGAATCCATTTTTATCGAAAACTGTTCATACGTATGTTTTATAAAAGGCAGCCATTCCACGTTACTCGGGAATTTTTGTAGCGTTAGCGTTACAAAAAAAAATAGTGAGTAAAACTACCGTTATTATGATGCTTATAAGCTTAAGCCTAATTATTACAAGCATAATAAACATGTTTACAATAGTATTTTATTTAATTAGGAGCTTCTACTCACAATTTTTTATTGTAACGGACGCTACAAAAATTAGGAGTTATATCGTGCAGAATGCCGAGTACTGTATAAAAATTGAACAAAGCTTAAGTAATATGCTTGCGCTTTACGCTAAAGAAGCACCGCTAGTGGCGCCACCACATGGCCGTCATCATCATAACAAAATTACAGCGTTTGTAACATACGCGTTTAATAATCAGCTGTCAAACGCGAGTGGTTTTGAGAATGATACCGGAAAATGTTAAAAATATCAATAATAAAAAAACCAATAAAGATTGGGAATCCGAATGAAGAAATAAATTGCATACAGTCAGTCCCTGTATATATTAATTGTACTTATTAGGTACAATAACTACAAATTTTATTAATGATTTACGTGAACATTTTAAACATTTAAATTAAGTTAAAATTATTTGTTTTAAGTCTTCTAAATGCAAACAGCATGAATTATTAAACGCGTTGATTAATAAAGTTTTTCCTCAAAGGTAAAAGACTAAAATACGGTATTATAATTATATAAAATATTATGTTGCCACGAATTCGTAGGTATATTTTGTATAAAATGCAGTTGTCGGCGTTTTTTTGAGGACTTAAAAATTAAAATGTTTGATTTTAAGGTTACGTTATGTTACCAAATTGGAATCTTTGGCAAAACATGAAAATGCAACTTACTTTTACAATTACATTAAAAATTAAAAACACAATAATTCACTATAATCAATTAGACAAAATACACACAAAAACTATATAGTCATATAAATAATATTAAATCGAAATCAAGTACTTAATCAAGCAGTTTTCCAGTTTTTACTTGCAACGCTATTCACAAATAACGTGCGCGGTTAAAATGAAATTGCAACTTTGCGAACAAAAGTTGTCGAGTAAGACTTCTGCCTTCCTCTTTTGTAAAAAAACAACTTATTAGTTATTAAAAATGATGTGCAGTTCATATGCTGTAAATGTATTGTTGACAAAATAATGCTATCGAGCGCCACCAGATGGCGCGCGCGTTGCAAAAACCCTATGCTTCATTTGCGTATAACTCTAAAACGGTCTATCGTAGGAAAAATGTTGATTTTAAATTTTATTTTCTGCTGTCCAAAAAGATTCATGCAAAAAGATGACCATGTTCCATTTTTTCCGAAAATTGTTACTATGCTGCCAAATTACACTTCAACTTCTTACTCTTTAATTAAGGTTTTAATTATTATTTTATTACATTTGTTTTGTCAATCTATATTAACTCTATAAATTAAATATATTTGTCAAACAAAAACTGAAAAGAGTTTGTTTTATTAAAAAAACTAATTTGACTAACAAGTTTTATTTATTTATATACAAGATGTATCAATTGCAATATTTAATTTAAAATTTGAAATACTCTAAACAGCAACTTTGGGTGGTTCAGCAGGTTGGAAGGGCTGATCGGCATCTTGACGATGGTACAAACCATGGGTCCATGGTTTTAACTCCCATGGCATTTGCTCTTCAACAGTTGTCAAATTGACACCCAAATCTTCCAAGGTTGGCACATCTGACTCGACTTCGTCGGTCAGATGTTCGCGTTCGATTTTCTCCCAGTGAAGGCCTCCGATGGGGAAGTTGGGGGAAAACTTTTCTGTTAAGGTTACCTTCATTTGGAAGAAAGGGTCCCAACGCATGTCGTAACGGGTGTAGCCCCATTCTTGATCTTTCTTCATCACTCTGTAGAAGTAGTCTATTAATTCGGAGAGTTGGTATCTCTTGGGTCTAAAATAAGTATAATTATAATAATAAGCTGGTTGGATATTGAGAGTTTGGATTTTGTTATAATTACCCAACAGCTTGATATATTTTTCCAGCACTATCAGGGTCCTTAATGGCGGCTACAATACCTGCAGCAACATCTGAAGAATGTACAGGTTGTTTTATTGTTTTTTCACCTTTGTTCCAAAGTGGGACATAGTTGGCAGTTCTTCTCCAAGAGTGTGTATAATACCTAAAATTTTTTTTTTATAAAAACGTGCAAATTGCATAACCCAAATTTGTATTTTGCTACTGGGGGTTTTTAATTAAGTTGTTTATTATAATGAACTAAATTTTTGCTGCTAATAAACGCGCTTATAATAATAAAAATAAATAAAGTTGGCCATATAAAAACCATAATAATTAAAATGGCGCAAAATCATAATCATTAGGTTTTCTTTAGCCTCCACTAAAATATATACGAGATGTAGTTATAATAAATAATATTAAATAACGAGACTGATGCTGTAAAACTTTTTATTTTAAATTTATACATATTTAATTATGCAATATACACCCCTTCTTTATCTATATACCGCTCTACGCGAATTTTTCATTGTTTAAAAGTGCTGAAGTTTATGACACGTGCCGATTGTTCTTACAAAGCTTTAACGATCTTAAATCTTATTTCGTTTAATGCAGATTTGACCTTAAAAAACAGATAAAAGTCACATGGTGCCAGGTGAGGGGAATAAGGCGGATGTTATTCTTTGCTAGAAACGTCTTGACAGCCAGTTTGAGCTGGTGCGTTGTCCTGATAAAGAAACCATGACTTTTCTTTACACAATTCGGCTCTCACGAATTCTTTGTCTATTTGTACAGTTTCAGCCAGGGTTGTGAACCGGTCCAAGAACCGCTTGTTTGTTACGGACCGGTCCGTACCCAAAATAAACAAGTTATAATTTTGGACCGGTCCATGGACCGTCCCGTTTTTAAAATTACTTGGACCGGTACAAATTTTGGACCGAACCGTTTTCAAGTGTTTTGGAGCGGTACTGGACCGGTTTAAACACTTTGAACCGGTCCAAACATTTGTATTATTAGATTATTTCCACTCCTATTTCATATTATTGACATTATTATTATTACTGTGATTTGAACCAATCGGGTTTTAAATTGGAAAAAGTGAGATTGGAACTAACAGATGTCAGATTTTTTTTATATATTATATGGGTAATTCCACCAAATAAAGTTTTTTTTTGTTGGCCCTCGCGGATTTTTAAATATATATAATAATTTCGTAATAGGTACACACTACGTGCTGGTATATATAAATGGCGTCCACGCCAGGTCGGGTTATCCTCCGTGACATTGTTCTTTCTTAAATAGGACACTTTAAATTCTAAAATTTGGCAACGTTGCCAGGTTTTTTGATAGCCGTCCAAGACAGTTTTTTTGTCAGGGACCGTGCATATTAAACAGTATTACATACATATTTAAATTTTAATTAATCATTATGTATTCGCATTATTGCGCAGTGTGTACCAGATGTTTTTTATGCGCAGTAGGTACCAGATGGTTGGGTCCATGCGCAGTAAACACCAGGTGGTTTTATGTGTGCGCACTGTGTACCAAATAATTTGATCTATGCGCAGTGGGTACGAGATTATTATGTCTATGCTCAGTAGGTACCAGGTGGTGGTTTCCATGCGTAGTTGGTACCAGGTGGTTTATTTTTATGCGCAGTAGGTACCAGATGGTTGGGTCCATGCGCAGTAAGCACCAGGTGGTTTTATGTGTGCGCACTGTGTACCAAATGATTTGATCTATGCGCAGTGGGTACGAGATTATTATGTCTATGCTCAGTAGGTACCAGGTGGTGGTTTCCATGCGTAGTTGGTACCAGGTGGTTTATTTTTATGCGCAGTAGGTACCAGATGGTGGGATCCATGCGCAGTAAGTAACAGGTGGTTTTATGTGTGCGCACTTTGTACCAAATGATTTGATGTATGCGCAGTGGATACGAGATTATTGTGTCTATGCGCAGAAGGTACCAGGTGATAGTTTTTATGCGTAGTGGGTACCAGGTGGTGGTTTCCATGCGCATTAGATACCAGTTGGTTTTATGTGGGCGCAGTGGGTACCAAATTAAAAAAACAAATATCGTCAAAATTCGAAAAATAATTACTATAGTTAATATTAACAGCTCAAACCTTCAGAATCTATAGAAATGTTTAATGATTAATTATTAAAAAAAAACTAAATACTATCAATATAATAAGTTATTCACGAGAAAGCGATTTTCCGAAAATTTTAATTATTTTGAAAATTTTTTGTAATTGGTAAAATAAATATAAAAATCTAACGTGGAATGATAAATCTAACATTATTTCTAATGGGACAAATTTTAATGTAAGTTTCATGAAAAAATTAAGTAAATTAAGTGAAAAAACAATAATGGTTTTTTTACATTTATTGTAAATCAACGAGAAATACGCTCAAAGTGATTCTCTTCATCTTCCGTTGTTCACAATGGCAACTGTCAAAATGACAGGTGTCAAAATAAAGGCTGTCAAAATGGCGGAAGTGCGGAAATATCAGCTATAAAAATTAGTGATGATAAAATGACAGGTGCCCAAATGACAGCTGTCAAAATAAGGTGTCAAAATAAAGGCTGTCAAAATGGCGGAAGTGCGGAAATAACAGCTATAAAAATTGGTGATGATAAAATGACAGGTGCCCAAATGACAGCTGTCAAAATAAGGTGTCAAAATAAAGGCTGTCAAAATGGCGGAAGTGCGGAAATAACAGCTATAAAAATTGGTGATGATAAAATGACAGGTGCCCAAATGACAGCTGTCAAAATAAGGTGTCAAAATAAAGGCTGTCAAAATGGTGGAAGTGCGGAAATAACAGCTATAAAAATTAGTGATGAATGACAGGTGCCCAAATGACAGCTGTCAAAATAAGTTGTAAAAATAACTGGTGATAAAATGACAGGGGCCCAAATAACAGCTATCAAAATGACAGGAGCCCAAATAAAAACTGTCAAAATGACAGGTGCCGAAATGAGCTGTCAAAATGACAGTTGCGGAAAAAACGTTATCCGAGCAAAGCCGCAAGAATACAGCTATTGAATAAATCACCTTTAGCTAGTGAATCACCATTTATAAGATTTGGAGCAATCCTAATCCACATTTGCTCCATGAGACCCACAAAAAAGTTGATTAAACAATTTTTTGTTTTTCTCTTAATTTACCTAGTTTAAAAAACTGACCAACAAATTTATGGGAAAATTACAGTATCTTATTAAGAATTAAAAGACCTTTAAAACGATATCACTTAAACCCCCGTGCAATTTAAGATTTTGGGGGCGGGTGGGGTAGAGCGCGTAGGGGTGCGGGTGGGGTCGTACAAAAAAAAGTGTCCCTTTACAAATAAAAATTGACGTGCCACATTTACCCTTTAAAACGTTTGGGAGGATACGTTTTCGTTCGTTCGGACCGGTCCATGGACCGTGGACCGGACCGTTTTTGGCGGTCCACACTGTCAATGTTCCAAAACGGACCGGTTCAGTCGAACCTATTTTTGCTGGACCGGTCCAACACAAACGGTCCACAAACGGTCCGGTTACATGGACCTTTTTTGGAACTGAACCGCTGGCGAACCGGTCCATGGACCGAAATTTTGTTACGGTTCACAACCCTGGTTTCAGCAATCGCTCGAGTAGTTAACCTAAGGTGAGATCAGATCAGATAATCATTCAGATTACCGATTTTCATATAACAAACATGCCGAATTTATGACGTCTTCTTGGCCATCTTGGAAACGCTTAAACCATTCAAAAACGCACGTGATAATCATTCTTCGCCGTATAGAAGTATAATGCTTTTAAAAATAAACAAAGATAAAGGATATAAAACAATTGACGCGTAATGACGTTTAAAAAATGAAAAGTTGATTTTTTTTTACAAAACTGTATAAAATGTTACTTTATTGGAATTGTTTTTAGTTTTTTTCTAGGTGATAAGCCTACAGCGTGGCGAAGTTTCTTAAACTTAAATTCTTAATTTAAAAACTGAGCATAATGCTCTACACCCAAAACACCCACCACGTGACTAAATAATTAAGGTTATTTTTCTGTCAGTGTCAATCTAATTTCGTCCTATTTTATAAAAATAATAGAATATATGTATTTTTAGTGTTTTAAATTTAGACCCTTGTACACAAAAAATACATATAGAGATATATAAGTAGAAGCACCTGTTTTGGCCACCGACCCCGTTGTGGCCAATTCGTTCGATTTTTTTTAAATATTAAGGGAACTGTTTACAAATATTCCTGAATCTAATTTCCCGCCGAATCCTTGGGTTATTGTTTTTGCTTTAGTGCATTCAGTTTATTATGTTGGTATCATTGTAAAGAAATGGAGGTTGTGTAAAAGGTGTTGTAATGTGTTGACACCCAATCTTTAGCAAAAACGTTAAGAAACCCAGGTAAGTTTTTTGATCAAAACATTTAATAGAATAGGAGCTTTAATATGATTGATGATTTTTTAAATTTTATAATGTTTAACAATGACAATAAAATAATGCTTATAAAGTTTAACCAGCCGGTTTTGGGTAAAAAGCGGTGGCCAAAACAGGTCATAATAAAATGGCCATTTCTCCAGTTTTGGCCACTGCCTTGGCCAAAACGGGGGTAACGTTTTCCATTTTTGGCCACCATGGCCAAAAGTTATTTTATAGCCACTACTTTTGATCACCAGGCTGTTTTTAGGTACCTAGGTCCTAGCTACACTAAAGGTTTAAAGACTTTTTGAATCAGATTATAGTACCTACTTAGCTTTCCAATCAGTACTTATTATAATCGTCCTTTTTTGCTGCAGTTTTAAAATGGATACGACAAAGAAAATAAATTTAGCAAAGCAAAAAACAAGGTACTTCTTTCAATACTAACCGGATCAACTGAAAAATGCCTTAGTGGCTATTTGAAACGGCCGGCGG